GCAGAGATGCTTGTTTACCGTATTCGTTGATGGTGTGTTAGGGTGCTAAGCGGAAGCTAAACTGCTTCAATCCTGCAATACAAAGAGAGCCTATATATAGCCAAAGACAAAAATGTGCCAAGGGCGGAACACCAGCAACAAAAAGATGTGTAGTTGCAGAGATGTTAATTGCTGGAAGCCAAGGCATATGCTTCTGTAGGTCTCTTCTTCACCAGAGCTAAACTAGATGAAAGTTAAAATTTCACATTGTGTGAGCAACCCACCTGCTCTACTGGCAGGAGAGCATGACTGGCCTTCATGGTCAGTGTCCTTGTGTCCTGCTGCCACTCAGCATGGTCAAAGTTGTATCCTGTGGAAGAAGGTGCATGAAGGGCTGATGTGGACATGTAAGGAATAACTTTCCCCAAAACTTTCTTCCTAACCTCTTTGTGGAGGAGCAGGTCTTCACCTTGAAGTGGTTTCGTTAAAGAAAATGCTCAGGGTCTGACATGAAGATACTCAGCGTGCCATGTACTGAGACAGTTATTTCCTCTCTCTTTTTCCTCTCTTCTCTTCTTTTAAGCTTTAAATAGGGCCCTAGCTTTTCAGGTTTGTAGCTGATTTTGTTTGGTCCAGCTTCATTTTGAAGAGGAATATCTATTTTAATATCTGGTTCAGGCCCTAAGTACTATCTGTATGTTATGGAAAATATGCAATGAAAATACTCACAGGAGTGTTGGGCCAAATCATGCAATCCTTAAACTGGCCAGACTTGTGTACGACTGCATGTTGGCCCCAGATAATCTCTTGAAGGACTTAACAGCATGGCACATAAAACTTGCTGTGAATAGGCTTTTGAATATTTCAAATGAACAACTCTCTATTCTGACCTCAAATATGTGGATGCTCTTTGCCAAGTACCTTAAATTCATCTTCTATGCTTACAATAGGATGCGACAATGCTTTTTTGTTCTTTTGACACACTAGCAGCATGCACCCAAATATTTGAAATGAGGACAGCACTTAAAGTCTACATTTATGCTGATGTGAAAGATGCCAGACTTAGTAACTTAGCTATAGTATGGTATAATACACACTTAACTTAAGATTTAACCTCAGTTAAAATTGCTTGGTAATATATATCGAGTAATATGATAGTTTGGTAAAAGCTTTACAGAAAAAGCCTTAGTAAGAAATCTGGAAGTATTGCATGTCCAGATATAATGGGAGTGTTTAAATTGTTTCAATGGATTGATTGTATATGAGATGCTACATATACCAGATAAACAGCATGCTGCCACTCTTTATTACTTTAAAAAAAAATTTGATAATTACTAAATATTTCCTCCCAGTATTTTTCATATGTGCATATGTAGAGAATAATTTAAGATGCTCAGACCTTAAAAGAGGGTTATCAAAACAGTAAGACTATGGTGTTTGTAGTACTGAATAATATATAAGGTAATGATCAATAGTCCCTTACAGGGAATACATTTAATCTTTACATTAGCTTGGCTATAAATTTTCCCTATTGGCTTCAACTTTTGCTATGTTAGATTTATATGATTCAGGCCTGTTATTGATTAGTGCACAACTATTTTGTGGGAGATGCCAAATTAATTGCTCAAAAAATCCATGAAAGTGCTTTTTTATTGGCCACGTGAGGCTTAACGTATACTATACTGTTATTTTATTATTTCATGTAAATATAGTTTCCAATAAGCCTTAAAAATAGTTATGTGGTGTGCTTAGACATGAAAATTCACAAAATATATTGAAAATGCTACTCTGTGCTTTATTTTGTGGCTCAGAAAGTAGTGTAAAGCAGCAGTGTGCTTCTGAATCTTGCTGGATAACTCCTGTGAGATCATCACGGTCTTACACGAGTGCTCTCAAAGAGAAAGCAATTTCCGTTTTTTCCACAAGACTTCTAGGTTTATGCAAGGTTTGGCTGGTAGCATCCTCATTGAAGAGGCAAGCAATTTGCAGGGAAGGCTGCCAAAAAAACCCCAGACCCTCAGAATCAGATGAGCTGATATTTGATACAGACACTTGCTGTACTGTGCACATTGATGCTGAACCTAGGAGCTTTGCAGAAGCAGTGCTCCTCTGCAAAATGTTCTGATCTCTAGTGCACAAATGTCTGTGTGAGCTTGCTATTACGTGAATGGGAAAACTTAATCATTTATGCACTATTTAGGTTTAGGATATTTAAATTTTCAAATTTGAGATGAGTAAAAATTAACACCAGAGAGAATAGTTAACATCTAGTCAGAAATGTGTGAGACTCTGGACTATACTAAGGATTTTCATTTCTCAAGCCTCTGGAAGATCATACTGTGAGTAAATCTTTCCACATATTCTTGATTCAGTGATGCCTGGAAGTAGATCTTCTAGTTCCATATGTAATATTGTTTTCATCTCACAATTCTGATTCAAGTGTATTTTTTCAGAATTTATTTTGCAAGACAAATTTCATAGGTTCTGTAATACCGCTAATTTTGGCAATCTAAACCCTTTTTTTTCTTTGTATTATTTGTTGTACAAATCAGAATATGACTGAGCTTCAAATTTATGCTTAGTAATTATGAGAAAGAGTGAGAGTAATCTTTTGATTTGGTATATTAATGTTGTCTGCAATGCATCATTCTAGCAGAGACTCAAAGGACTTCACTGTTTGAGTATTGTACTTTCATAGATTTCTATGAAATACTTTATATTTTTTGTTTATATACTTTATATTCATTTGTTCCTCATTTTCCTCCAAACAACTCTGAAAATGGGAAAACACCTTTGAAAATAGCTGCTTGTGACTCAGAGATCAGTCATGCATGAAAAAAAAATCTTTCAATGGAAACAACATGTACAGTGTTTGTTTTTTTTCCTGCATTTTATAGGTATACTGGAATTTATCAGTATAGCAGTGGGCTTGGTCAGCATCCGAGGAGTCGACAGTGGACTCTACCTTGGAATGAATGAGAAAGGGGAACTGTATGGCTCGGTAAGTTCCCGCTTGCCTTGGGCAGTCGTGATCCTTATGTTCTGTGGGAAGCTCCTACAAGCCGCGGTTGCACTAGGTGCTGTACGAGCACTATTTCTGCGCTAAGTATCTTGCAGTCTAATTAGAAACAAGACCCAGTGGGTACTTTAACAAATATGGGAGAGGGAAGAGGTGGCAAAATTAGGCATGAGTAATAATGCGGACGGACGACAATTTAAGATACAAGCAATGGAGACTGATGGCCAGAGCTGGTCACTGAAGACTAAAGGATATGCTGTAAGATTTGTAAATGTGTTCTTTCAATAGAGACTGAAAACGAGAGACAAAGTTGCTGCCTCTTGTGGGTAGGCGAAGAGCTTTCTAGGAATTGACAAAAGAAAGTAGAGGGGGAGGTAAACGGTGGCATATGTAGATGAGAAAATAAGAAATAGGAGCAGATAAAAGTTATGAAAAGTATAGAAAAGAGGGCAAGAGGCTTGGTGGTCTTGTCGTGAAACTTCAGCTGGTGCTCCCTGTGGGATGGCAGCAGGAGTGAGTAATGGGTATGAGGGAGGAGTAAAACTTGATATTTCAGATGTGGGTTAGACTGGCAAACCAGCCTACCTGCATATGTGTGTGCATATGTGCGATGTGATCCTTACCTGGGAGTACTTGAGACATCTAACATACACTGGGGTTCACACCTGGAGTAGATTGTGGGCAGAGGAGATCTGAAATTGAGCTGGTGACTCCCCAAATAGTAGAAGGCAACCTCTTCTAGCACTAAAGTATCAACCTCCAAAGTTGACAAGGACTAGAGAAGCAGTTGTATTTGAGGAAGAGGACGGCAGGTTTGAAGGGTAAGCAAATGTCTAAAGTGAAGAGAGGCTGTGTGTTCACGGGGGTTCATTAGAAGCACAGAGGAGAAGGTCACAATGGTCAACTGATGGTGTATACGTTGCAAAGAGAGACACTCAAAAAGGAATTAAAGTGATAGAAAGTGGCCTTGGGTGTAGCTGAAGATACCTGTGTCAGAGGGCAGTAATGGTAACTGGGAAAAGGATGGGAAGCAGGATGAGTGGGAGGAAACACACGATGATGGTCATGAGTGGGCAGGTGAAAACAGAAGGAGTAAGAGGGAAGTCCAGCTTCCACATACGTGATCCATGGAGGAATGTGAGGACGCAAGACCAGCAAGGTCCAGCAAAAGTGCTTTTATGAGGGTGTCCTGGTTCACTGATCCCTTTCTAGTAACGTTTTGTGTGAGAGAGTGAAAGTAGAGAGAGGAAGGGGACTGTCTTCTGAGCAAAGAGCACGTTGGGGGAGGAAGCCAAAAGGTACAGATCATGACAGTGTTTGTGGGAGGCAGAAGAAGAAGTGATAAAATGAGAGGCAAGGCTGGGATGGAGAATGTGTGGACACTGGAGAAGTGGAGATGGAGAGATGGTGAGAGTCAGTGAGTGGGAAAGGCCGAAGAAAAGGGATTTAGCATAAATGGCAATTTGCAGGAGGAAAAGGTTGGAAGGATGGAGAGGAAGAGCGAAAGGGCATGGATGCAATGACAGATGTAAAAAAGTTGCCTGTAAGAGTAAGTTGTCATGTCACAATTCTTGTGCAGCTGATGAATGGGATAAAGAACAGGCAAAGTCATGAGTACTTTTATGGTTCAGTTAGACAGCAAACAGGCAGAACAGCAACAGTAATATGAATCAGTAATGTTGATAATCGTCAATAAGAGTAATTGTTTAAACAGATAAACGTAGTGAATCAGTTACTCTATACTTCAGGTATTCAGAAAATGTGGTTATTGATAGAGCTTAAACTCATAGGCTTGGGAAAGCAGAAGTTACGTCACTTTTCTGTGCAATTTGTATTTTGTGTTTGTAACATGTTTGACTGTCAGAGCGAATTACCCAAAACATTCTTTGCTGAAGAAATAGGCACAAGAAATTCTTTGTAAATTACTAAGCTCACTGCGTTAATAAAATAGTTATTCCATGAACAGCAGTTCTAAAGGAGCCTGCACAGTCCAAGACATGGGTCTCCCTGACCTTCTGTCCCTGCAGTAACAGAAATTCCCCAGCCTTTTTTGTTTCTTGCATGGAGAAAGAGACAGTGTTGGCTGTCCACGCTTACTGGATTGTCAGTTTGCAGGGATTGCATAGCTCACCACTCCCAAGTGGGACGTGCAAATGATTTCTCTTCTTTACCCTGCCTCTGATTAGTTGCAAAACTGATAGGAACTTAATTTTCTTGAAGACCTTTGCCTCCTGATTGAAGCTGGTTGAAAAGCTAAGGGAGGACAGACAGGCAGGCAGATGGATGCATAATATAATTGGATAACCTCTTTTCCCTAAGAAATGATGCTAAAAATATGAAGCCATTCATAATGGAGAAATGGCAATCTATACGGCCAGAATGCAAAGTTCAGGTTAAAATCTGATGGATGATATGTCTTATTGTCAGCTTCCAGAGATGGGACATACTAAAGAGTGATGGTAATTGAATTACATTACTTTCAATGAAATATAACCTCTAATGGCTACTCAGTGTGATGATGCTTTAAAGCCTTGTCAACACTGGCAATCCTAGTGCCTATATTTCAGCAACTGTCAGCTCTCGTAGAAACATGGAGATAAGCAGGCCTCAGAGCAGATTTTTGTGTAGAATTGGCTGGACGTTTTTAAGTGACAGTGTTTTGCTTTTGGTCAAAAATGCAATTAATTGAAAATGAAGTTCTCTGATGGGAATAATTGTTGCAGTTTGAACTAGAAGCAAGGCATAATCCAGCACAGAATTATCTTTCTGGGGAGAGAGATCAGTTTAATTTAAATTAGTTTTGAGACCGATAGGTGATAGACTGAGGTTCAAGTTTTTCACCTGAATTAAGCAGAGCGGTCACTTGAGTTGAACTGTTTGTAGCACCAGCAAGTTGTCCTCCTGCTGCCAGTGCTGGGAGTTGGGTCCCTCTGTCTTGTTTTTTTCACTAAGGGCTGTGAATAGCACCAGCTTTGTCATGGAGCAGGTACACTTATGAGGCTGTGAACACATTTTCTAAGGTGGGAAAACTGTCTCCCATGCACAACTGAATAGCAACCTAAGAAATACCTGGTCCTGCTCTACATCAGCATTGAGAAACTAAGCACATGTGTTCCTGCAGGCATTCAGTACTGCAGCACTTGACACTGCCGAAATGGATGTGCTGTATCTATGACACTGACACATTTATATTCAAATTACTGCATGGAAAATATATTAGGTGTGAATCACATCAGCGACCTAAAAGACTTCTATCCTTCTATATTCACATTTGAAACATTTGGCATAGGAAGATTTTTCCCAGTGTATTTGTGGTGCCACTGGAGTTGGGACATATGGTGAAGCAGAGCAGCCAGGATAGGTGATTGCTGCCAATTTTCATGAAAGGCAACAGTAAGGCAATTTCAGTGTATCTTGATCTAGACATGTTCCTCTTGGCCTTCTCAAAGCACTGCTTTCCTCCTAGGTTAACTGCCTGACAAACTCTCCCCAACTTGCCAGGCATCTTCTTTACTGCATCTTCTGGTTAAAAGAGCACTATGGCTCTCACGCTGCTCTCGGGCAGCAACTTAAAACGTAGGGTGGCTGTTGTCAAGTTCCTCTTCATCCCACGGATTTACCCAGGGAAAGCTGAAGCTATATGTGTGTGATACTGCAGAGAAGCCAGTGGTAGCTATGTAGCGATGACTTGGAGGCTGGTTAGTGACAGCAGTTTTCCCTCCTGTCTTGCTCTGTTCCTGCTCTCCCTTTACCTTCCCTTCCCCTTGCAGCCTGCAGCTATGACTCATCATGTTTCACTACAGCTACGGTGCTTGTCACTGGAGCGGAGGAAAAATCCAAACTACAGATAGGACCTGAAGGGTGTTAAGAAGAGACACGAAGACCTTTTTCCTTCCCGAGTGCCAAACAGCTCTTGCCAACACCTCTGGCAAGAGTGTTAGCAAACGTATCTTAGCTGTGCTCCTCAGTGCCTTGCCATGGAGTAAGGGAGGTCTTTCTGATCAGTCCCATGACCTTCATGCCTTCATGGGCTGTCCTCACCCTCATGCTGCCCTGCACCACTCCCCTTGGGAATATCAACAGTTGTCACCCACATGGCAGGCAGTGGTGAGCATCCACCATTCGCACTGCAGGCTGTCCTCTGAGGCAGTCCTGTACAACCTCGAGCACAGCAGGACCATGGGACACCCTTGCCTCAGCTGCCCTCACTGTCCCGGGCTCCCCTGCAGCAGAGAGCTATGCTGCATCCTCCTGCCCCACCAGTGTCCCACGGACATGGACCTGCCCCACTCCTCCAACTAGATGTAAAGAAGAATTTTTTTACTATGAGGGTGTCGAAACACTGAAGCAGTTGCCTAGAGAGATTGTAGATGCCTCATCCCTGGAAACATTCAGGGTCAGCATGAACGGGGCTTTGAGCAACCTGATCTAGTTGAAGATGTCCTGGCACATTGCAGTGGGGTTGGACTGCATGGCCTTTAAAGGTCTCTTCCAACTGCGATTCTATGAAATGCTGATGTCTCCATTGCTCCTTGTGTCCTTGGCAGGTGGCAAAAGACAGCTCAGGTTGGAGGCCTAGGAGGAAAATTGGGAGTTGGAAGATCTGGAGCAGCTACAAGGGGAGCTGTGCAGGGGGGAGGAGGAAGGCAGGAGGGGAGATGATGGAGTTATTGGGGAAGGGGAAAAGGGCTATGAATGTTTGGATGGAGGAAGGAGCGGAAGGTAGAGAGAGAGGGGCTTCATGCGCCCACAGAGCAGCTGGGACAGAGCTGAAGAGCCCAGACCTGGAGCCGGGGAGGGAGGCTCCTCACCTCTGGGTTTCAGATTTGCAGGGTGTGTGCAGCGAAGCGAGATTTAGGACTGCTTAGGGCAATAAATTGCTGTCCTTCAAAAAATTTAACTGAAAGCTTGTTTGTCCCAGTGTTTTTGGGACACTAAACTTGCCTTTTGCTCCTAAAACTACTGCAGAGAGGGTGGAGGAA